ACACCCATATTCTTAATCAATTCACCAAAGGAAATGCATGAAAATCTGAAGCTTACCTCTTTGAACCGAATTATATTAGGATGCCGAAGTGATCTATGGTTTATGATCTCCCTAGCCACATTTTCATCGATCTGTAAGACAAGATTACAAATTGCTTTTCGATTAATGAGGCAATTCAAGGTGCACATTAGTAGATCACAGATTTTACAACCACATAATTAATACCCACAAAATCTAACCAAGATCAAACCACCCAAACACAAATAGTAGAGATAATGAAATAACAAAATGGGTAAAACTGAAAGAACCACAAGTGATCTGCCATTATAAATGCAGGAAAAAGCTCAGACCTTGTGCCCTCTTTCAATGTATTTCATGGCGACCAGCTCTTTAGTCTCCTTATTCCTCATAAGCCGGGCCACGCCGAAATTTCCAGACCCTATATCTTTCACAAGTTCGTATTTTTCCATTCTGCCACTCTTTACTCTCAAATTTCAAGCGCACGAAAGTTTCTAAAAACACTCCCCCACAGATCCTGGTTCGACAAATCAAAAGGTAAATTCAGTACTCGAGGGCAACTCATAATCATGCAAAATTAGGAAAATAACGACACACAAACAAATAATATCCCTAAAATGTAATTTTTAGCTTTAATTCACAGTTTTTTAGACCTCAGCCGAAAAGGTATTCCATCAATTGCCCAATAAAAACACCCTAAATGACTAAAAAGATGCTTGCAATTCAAGATGGTCCAAAAGAAATTCCGGTATTTACCTCTGATCCCCAAATTCGGAAAAGGGCTTTTCAGAATTCGAAAGATTGTACTACTCTCTCTGCTGAAACTGGAATTTTACTTTTTATTTTTTTCCGCGGAGAGAAGGAAATAAAAAAAGTAAGGTATTTTTATTTTGAAGAAAAGCAAGGAACACAGGCGGTGCAAGTGGGTTGGAAGTGTGCATTAACATGAGAGATTCTGAAGAACTACAGACTGCTGCTATTTATATGACAATAATTTTGCGGAGAAAATAAGAATTTTCTTTATAAACCTGATAAGGAATAAAGAAGAGAATGAATTGTATTTTGATTCGGCTAAGAATAAGATTGAATTGGTGGGCCCTCACTTGTTCCTTCCGTCCGCGAAAACTCGTCTACTTTGGAAACAAGCGATTACGTGTGGAATGGGATATATTTACATTTGAGAAAAAACAAATATTTTTAAAAATTAATAACTATGTAAAGTGATTGATATAAAAATAGTATTTAGTTATTATAATAATAGTAAGTTTATAATTTTAATAATTAATTAGAAATTTTTTAATGATTAAATTTAATTTGTACTACTTAATTTTTTATTTAAAAAATGTTAGACAACCGACCTGGACAACCAGACTCGAGGACACTAAGGGAGAGCTCATTTGCCAAATTCAAACTAATCACGGATTAAAAATAGCTCGGCTCAGACCAGATGGAGAACCGACTTCACGCACGGTGTGGCAGCCGACTTCTAAGAAACTGAGGTTCCCATCTGAAACCGAGATCAAAATCAGGTAACGAGGCGTCGATGTGTACAACTGCCCAAACCGCCCGTCACACGTACCCCAATCATGACCTACGGGCCATCTGAAGAATAACAGCCTACATAATGTGGCTTTGCATTAAATGCTGTCGTACCAACCTCGAACGTCGAGCGAAAAAGTTATTAAATAACAGAATTTACTCTTGTACGAGGATCATTTTCCCGGATATTGATAAACTCATATGTAAAACAACTCGGTTCATGCAAAAACCGACTTCCCAAAGTAATTCCGGTCCAATTATAATTCAAAAGCCTACAAAGTTTTACGTTTCATATCGTAAATCCTCGTTAATATCGTTGTTAAAATCTACATAACAACAAAAAATATATCCTCTATATATTAATTCAAAACGAGCTTAAGTGTCAGGCTCGCACGTTTTGGAATCCTACATGTCACAACATCATGCTTTGTATTTAGGTTCGGATAAAAAATTTTAGAAACAAAATTAGTTTGAAAAGTGCCATAAATAATTTTTTCACCATCCCCTTTATATATAATTTCATAATGCGCTGAGCCTACGTGGCAAACTCTCATGCTTCGGAACTCTATTTGGCAAAAAATCATGCTTTGGGGTTAGGCTTAGATATGAATTAATATTTTTTATCACACTAAATGTTTCTTCTTCTTATTTAAAATTTTATAACTTTTTTGTTTGTATTTTATTTTTCATATATGATATATCAAATTAACCATCTTTTAACGATTTTTTATTTGACATCCACAAAACAGTAATATATCCTTATAAATAAATCAAATAAAACTATAAATTATATTATAAAGTAATAGAAATTGGTGTGTATTCTTTTAAAAATGATATTTACTTCAAATCTAATTGGTATGTTGTTAATCTAATAAAAATAAATAATTATTTATTTAAATTCTAAAATTACATATAAAGTTAAAAAACTGTGAAGCACGACTGATACGACACTTGATGTATTAGGCATCTAATTAAGTAAAAAAAATTAATCTATTTTGCTTAATATTAAATAAACATATTTTACACTTATGCATATACATATCACCATGTTATTTCTATTTATGTAAGATATATATTTTTGAACTTATGTAATAGTAAATAATATCGATATTTTTATATGATATAAGTAAGAAAATTCAACACGAGTTGACATTTTCATTTAATGTACGGGTGTTTAATTATTATGATTAAAAAATATATTTTGACAATTTAATTAAAACCTAAAATAATATTTTATATAAAATTAAATTATTTAAGTTTTTAAAAAAATAAAAAATTGAATATTTCTTACAAAAGTTTTCTGATTCAACACCCATGTATACACGAATATTGTACTAGTACATTATTGTTTCCATTAATCTCTCTTTCATCACCAAATTTGTCTTGAATTTAAATATCTCACAAATCCTTCTTTCCTTATTTCATTTCCTCTAAGAATTTATCCCATTCATCATTTTTTTTCAAGTTGATAAATTTTAGCCCATTTTTGAGTTTGTGTCTTTGTTCGTGTAATGAATAATGATGAACTAAAATTATATATTATAATTATATTGCTAATATAGTTAATGAACCTTAACTAGACACATCTCTTATCTTAATTCTAATCAATTTTAGTCCTTTCTTAATTATTATCCGTTATCGTATTTGTTGACATCAGAACCGAATACCACAGGTTAAGGATATTTTGAGCGGATGTAGGAGAATGTTAAGGTTAATTAACAGGAGTCCGAGCTGTAATGAAGGTCTTTGGTACTATCTCGGTATCGAATCGACACCCTGGAATTACCACCTTAGTTTCCGAGACGCAAATTGTAGACCTCAAGATCATTCAAGCATTGCATTAACACCTCGGGATCATCACCTCGGTTCGAAAAGAGTTTATTGGAAGGACCTCGGTTCGAAAAGAGTTTATAGGAAGGTCATAGAAGGCTAAAACCCTGTAGAAAACTGATGTCACGAAAGACCCGACTTCACCCCGACATAAGTGACGTTTGTCACTCAGTTAAAGGGGCGCCCATGCTTTCATCATTGCCTAAAGAGTCTACCAGCATCATAGCCGCCCCTAAGCCGTCAAATCCGCATTAAATGTAGCCAAATTCTCTTGGGAGGTGTGCCAGATATAACTATAAATAGTAGCATTAAAGTCGATACGAGGATTCTGAATCCAACACAATAAATTCATGTATTAAATACATCGGTTCTCTCTGTTACCGACATCCTGTACTAAAAACCGACTTGCTCAAAATTGTTACCCACCTCGTCGAATTCAATAAAAATTCTATTTTCTGCAATCTTTACCGTATTTTATACCTTAATCACGTTGGTTAAATCCGCCTATAACGTATTTTATACCCTAAACACGTTGGTTAAGTCCGTTTATCAACATTTTGGCGCTAGAAGGAGGGCTCCATAAGATATTTGGAGTTAATTTTCAAAATCACAAAACACCACATCTCAACTTAAACTACAACATCGAACTAAGAACATGTCTCAATCCGGTCAAGGTGATCAAACGACCCGGAGAAGCGCTAACCACGTCCCCAATCAATCAGTAGGCCGCAACAATGCGGTGCCCACAATGCAGGATTGGACCACGCTCATGCAAAACCCGAAATTTGCCCGAGGATTTGCCGCCCTGCTGGCCTAAACCATGCCGGGGCCTTCAGGGAGAATGCAGGGACAGTCTCTCGCCACGGTAAATCCGACGAGACAACGGGTCCCCCAAATGCAAGGACGCGACAACAACCAGGCCGCATCACACGCGACGTTGCAGCCACGTGACAATAACCCTCAAGCTCCACCGGCAGGCAACGTCGCCCCACCGGAGATGAACCTGCCGGGGATGAACAGGCCAGAGATGACAGCTGAAAGTCACCCTGGAAATGCCCAAAGAGTCCCACCCGTAGCTCGGCAGCTGTTTCAACAACCAGAGAACCCGGCCGACTTGCGACAGCAAATCGAAAGAAATCGGTGTGCAAGACGCGACACCTCTGAGGTGGAAATGTTACGAAGGAAAGTTGCAGAGCTAGAAGCCCGACATGCTGCTCAAGTCAGGCCTCCTCTGCCTCCCCGCATATCTGAACCAGGCTATGTCTATTTGGAAGTTGACTCTCCGCTGGCACCCGAGTTGACTAGAGGGCCACTGCCGGGAAAGGTCAAAGTTCCACAGATCGGACTCTACAATGGAACTGCCGACCCTGACGCTCACCTCGGCCATTACACATCATGGATGGACTTACATGGCGCCGACGACGCTCTGAGGTGCCGAATGTTCTCCCTGACCCTGGGCCCCAAAGCTTAGAAGTGGTATTATTCGCTGTCGGCTGAGTCGATCCGATATTGGAGTCAACTCAGGTCGGCGTTCAGGTCTCATTTCATTGGAGCCGAAGTGACTTTAATCCCGAAAGAATCAATCACCAACATTGTCCAGAAGGAGGACGAAAATTTAAAGGACTACGTTGCACGTTTCAATGAACGCGTGCAAAATATGGAGCCATGTCACCTGGAGACACTCCTTGTCTCGGCAATATCGGGCTTAAAACCGAAGTCCATGTTTCGCTGGGCACTCTGTCAGAACAAACCTAGCACTTACCAAGAGTTCTTTGTTCGAGCTCAACAACATATCATTGCTGAGGAGTCTATGTCGGTTCCTGACCTTGAGTTTTCATCATCGAAAGGTCAGAAACCGACTCTCGAGAACAAGAAAAAGAAGAAGCACTTCGGTAACCCCTCCAAGAATCCACAATTCAGGGAGCCATACAAAGGCGACCCCAACGACCCAGAAGTGAAGGCAACCAGGAGGCAGTATAAGGAAGACCTGACTACAGGTTACCGATCGATTTACTCGGTAGGTGCCGCAGCAGTCTACCAGGAAATCAAGGGAAAAGGGATTATCCCCGAAGCCCGACCTATGAAAACCCCTGAAAGCCAGTTGGACAAATCTCGATACTGTGATTACCAAAAATCACCGGGCCACAACACCGATGAATGCCTTAGCCTGTTGTCTGCCCTCATGAAGCTTATCGGAAATCCACAGGTGAGGAGATTTACAAAACCACATGAGGGCAAGGAAAGACGACAGATGGTCCACATTTTCGATAGAGATGAGAAGGAAGAAGGGGCCCTGAACGCAAAAAGAATCAGGCTACAACAGGGAGAAAAGAAAATCTTCACGATTGGGCCAATCAGTCTCAGGTCGACTGAAGACCGACTTGGGAAGAGGAATAGGGAGCTCGAAAGTCCCGATGACATCAACCGAACCCCTCAGAGTTCATCTCGGCTGGGTTCTGTTCCCCGAATTAACACCAACCGAGATGAGCTAACTTCCTCACGATGGCAAGCCAAAGCCTACGCCAGAAGGGCATACAACTCGGGAAAGCAAATAAATAATGGCTAATTCACGCACTTGTCCAATCACCTTTACGTTGGAAGATGCAAGTCTGTTCAACCACCCCTATTCCGATGCATTACTCATTACCGCGCCGATCTGCGGAATCCCTATCCATCGAATAATGGTGGATACCGGTGTGTACTCAAGCATTCTCATGCTCCAATCCTTTAAGAAACTCGAACTTG